AAATACTATTAACATTTCATTACAGCTTAAAGATCCCTCTCAGCCCAGCCCAGAGCCAGTCCATCAGCGGGATCGCTCCTGTGCCAGGCAGGATGTGCTGGACCCTGTTGCTCCAAGGAGAGGGGACCAGGAGGGTGAATCCACATATCCCAGCTGCGGGATGGGGTGGGAACCTGGGACAGGGGTGGACATCAGTGCTGCACTAACCCAGCACAGCCCATCCTCGTGGTACCCTTGGCCACAGGGGGGACACAGCAAGGTGATGGAGCAGCACCAAGATGGGAGCACCATGGCAAACACATGCAAGAACAGCCCTGAGGACCAACCCAGAGCCAAGCAGCCCCCTCCACCACTCACCCTGCCAGCAATAGCACAGCTCCTGAGGACCCAGCACTGCTTTAGCCTCCATAGGGACCCTGCCACAGCACCGTGCAGCTGCCATCCATGAGCATTGCCTCCATAGGGTGGAGGATGCTGCAGAGGGTGCGGCACCCCACTCCCTCTCCCCACTCCATCCTGCAGGCACAAGGGGAGCAGGAATGGACTGGGGGCACCCCAAGCCAAGGAGGGGGCTGATCAGAGCCTTTCCCAGTGGCTTGGAAAGGGAGGGAAGAGTTAAAGGGAGCGCAGAGCAGGGGAGAGGAGCCAGACGCCAGCCTGGCTACTGGAAACCACGATGGGCTGGCAGAGAAGGGACTGCGGACGGGGCTCAGAGCACCCACAGCACCATCACCCGCATCCCCGCCATGCTGGAAGCATCACCCACCACAGCGCATGGGCAGCAGGGGCACCGAAGCACCCGGCAGCAAGGTCCTGGTGTGGGAAACAGCCAGAGACAGCATCCATGGGAGAGCCACAGGCACAAGGGGCCGCCCAGAGCTGGCAAAGGGCGAATTGGTGTCAAGCCAGGCGAATTTGGGACTGTGCAAGAGAATCGAGGCCAGTGAGGGATCCTCGAGCTGGGATTGGAGCCGTCAGCTCACAGCTCCTTTGCTCCACAGCAGCCAACAACCCCGGGTCCTCTGCAGCATCCCATGGCAAACAGGGACCCCACAATGGGAGGTTAAAGGAGGGTTTGGACCCACAGCTCCAGCCCAGCTGCAATGGGAGGCTAAAGGAGATGTAAACCAAGGAGCTGTGCCCCAGGCTGAGCAGGAACCTTGCACTGGAAGGGAACTTGGCACCCGCCAGCCTGCACCCTCCTGCCAAGTCCTGCTGGGAGCGAGCCTCACACACGGGCTGGAAGCCCCGATAAGTTTATAAGGGACCTGCTGGCACCATTGAACACAGCAGCAGCAGGAGCTGCTCAGCCTGGACGGCCCCGAGGCCCCGTGCCTGGGATGCACCAGCATCGCCCAGTGCCAGCATCGCCCCATGCCGGCATCACCACCCGCATCCCAATGTCTCACCCCTTAATCTGTGCCAAGGGGATCAGGGAGGGCCATGGGGGGCCCAGCATCCTTCAGGCCAAGCTGACCCAGGCTCTGGACCTGCAGCCACTTCCTCCTGCTCAACACTGATGGCTCCAGCACCCAGGGGCTCCGGTGTCCCAGCCAGCTCCCCCCTGCCCGGCTTCTCCCCAGTGCCCGTGGCCAAGGAGCAGGAGCCATGAGATGCTGGCAGCACCGGGGAGGTTTCCGGTGCCAGCGGGGGCACCCGGGCAGCTCCGGCACCCTGGGCACTGCCCCACAATTGGATTTGCAGCTGCCCGGCCTTTTACTGCATGGAAATTGAATTGTGAAATGTCAAAGACATTTCCCAACTGCGCCATATTAGCCTCGTTTTATTAAATCCTGTGATCAGAGGAGATTATTAATGCAATCAAACGCAGGCAAACACACAAACCCAACCCAGAATTAACTGGCCATAGGGCAGCAGGCAGCCAGCGAGGTCCTGCCCAGGAAGTCCCTGTTCCCAAGGGATCTGGCTCCTGTTCCCGCTGTCCCGCATCCCGCTGAGCTGCTGCAGCTCCGCTCGCATCCCGGGATGTTTCCCACGGGATGGCAGCACCCCAGAGGGTGATGAACTCGCTGAGCCTTGGGGTCCCTGCCCCGCTGCCTGCACCAGGCACATCCATCCGAGGAGCTGCTGCCTCCTGTCCTGGGCTTTCACTGCTGGGGTTTGGCTGGAGGCAGGCACTGGCAATGGGGCCAGGCTGGGCTGCGTTACTCTCACTTAGAGGGGTGCAGAGCTCCATGGCCGGGTCTGGAGCCCAGCCAGGCGGCTCCAGCATCCCAGCCGGACACGTGAGGACACAAGCCCTGATGTACGGGGCACCAGGATGGCACCAAGGGCCAGGCATGGGGTGGGCAGCGCAGGTCTTCAGGGTGCAGCCCCAGCTCCCAACCCCACATCCAGGCTGCAGCCAGCCCCTGCCATGCTGGGTGCTCTCCCTGCCTTGTGCTGGGACATCCTTGCTGCATGAGCTGACACATGGGAGCTCTTTGTAAACCCCCCCAGCCCAATGGGAGAAGCCGGGCACAGGGTCCAACCCTTGGCTCAACATCCCTCCTATGGCACCAGTGGGTGCCAGACTGGAATTGCTTCCAAAGGGAAAAGCCGCTGGCAGCACCAGCCTCGCAGGGAAGCAGCCTCCTCGCTCCAACATTCCACAGCCAAGGAACCACAGCTCCTCTGCACACCACAGCACCACCTCCTGCTTCCCAAAGCCCCGGGCGCCTGGGATAGGGACAGGCAGGGATGCTGCTAGGGACACCCCAGCGCCCCATCCCATCCCATGGTGCCCGGAGCCAGGGAATGGAGGGGAAAACGCCAAGTCACCACAATTCTTCGAGGTAGCACCGGGAGGAGGGAGCAGGGAGGGGAACAGTTTTGCTGCCAAATCCCTGCATCTGATTTGCGTAACTTTCAGACAACCTCATCAATTATGGATGCCCGGGAAGCAAGCGCGGTGCGCGCTGCGGCCGGCCCGGGCCCCACAAACTCGTACTCCTCCGGCTAAATCGGGCCCCACGTCACCATGGCAACCCGTGGTAATTCACGCAGGGATTTCAAAAATCCCATTTATTAAACCCCACATGAATAGGATATTGCCCAGATCACAGAGCTCGCTTACAACCCCTCCCGCTGCTGCACAGCGTGGGGAGCACCGGAGGCACGCGTGGGGCTGGCACACGGAGGGATGCGGGGATGCCACCGCATGGGGACAGACCCTGCTCGGTGCTCTCCTGCCCTGTGCTGTGCGCAGCTCCTCCAGCCCTGCTGCTGCAACCAGAGGTGCTTGTGAACCCTATGCCATGAGCATGGCACCACACAGGAGTCAGGTCCGGGGGGGGGGAAACAACACCAGAGCATCCCAGCACCAACACTGGTGGGTTTGGCAGAGCTGGAGATGTGCGAGCATCCAGGCCCACAGCAGGCATCACCCCAACAGCAGGCACGGCCTCACTGAGAGCCCCTTATCCCTGCCCAATGAGCCCAGCACGGGGAGCACCACTGGCCCCGTGGTCAGAGAGCTCTGCAGCGGGAGATGCAGCAGAGCAGGGCTGGGATGGATGCAGGAGGAGGTGGTGGCACTAGGGCACCTCTGGCCGTTGCCACAGCAACGCCAGCTGTGCAACCGGCATTGGAGAGGGGTGTGCAGGGGATCACGCTGGGCACAGGCCTCATCCCCATCCCCACACACTACTCCCAGAGGCCACGGCAGTGGCAGCACCTGGAGTGTGCTGAGATGAAGAGGGCTCCGAGCTGGAGCCACTGCTCTCCCTGTGCAGTCCCTTGGCAGTGAGAGCAGCGATGGCACCGGGGACATGGGGGGCACAACACCAGCCATGCAGGAGGGACCACACACCAGCCCTACACAACACCTGGGGACACGGTGGATGCCACACCAGCCCTGCATGATGCCAGGGACAGGGGGATGCCTGCTCAGCACCAGGACACAGGGGAAGCTGTGCTCTGCTTGACCAGGATCACCCCTTCGTGAGACCAGGGACGGGGGACACTGCACCAGCCCCGCACAGCTCCAGGGACAAGGGGTGCCGCATCCATCCTGGGAGGCAAAGGGGCCGCACGCCCAGTGTCCCGATGCCACACCAGTGCTCCCTCGTGCCCAGGGATGCTCCCAGCCCCACGCACCAGGCCTGAAACCTGCGGCTGCATCAGCACCATGAATAATTCAGTCCCGGGTGGAACGCCTTCACCAGAGCACTTACATTGTACAGCGAGCAGGTACTCCTGGAGCTACACACACGTCCACACGCAGACACACGCATCCCCACACGTCCGGCCCCGCAGGCTCACACCGGGGCGCGCACACACGCACCCCCCCATCGGGGGTGCACACACGGGGATGTGCAAACCCAGCCGCAGGGAGAAACCCGCGGAGCCTCATCCAAACACCCCCACACACAGCACCACCAACACAGCCCCATCCAAACACACATATGCCAGGGTACACGGATACACAAACACAGACACGCACCCAAACACAGACACGCGTGCACGCACGTACACGCGCACAGGCACATGCAGATGTGTGCAGGCACCGGTGCACACACGCACGGGCCGTGCACACCGGCTCCACGCACACCAAGGTGCCTCCAGCCCCTGTGTGTGCCCAGGCCAAGCCCCGGGACACCCGCCCGGCCCCGCTCCCCGGGACCTGCCCCTGGGCACAGGGCAAGGGCAGCCCGGCCGTACCGGGGGGCTGCACCGGGACCGCTTTGGCGAGGCTGTGCAGTGATCCCGGCCGGGATGCTCCGCAGCCGCCAGTGCCCCCCACGCCGGGCTGCGCCTCCTCTCAACACCGGGGTGCCCCCCGGGAGGGGTCCCGGCACGTTTACGGTCCCCGGCCGCCCGCTCCGCAAAGGGGAAGGGCCGGGGATGCTCCGGGGCCGGGCAGGGCGGCATCCCGGCCGGGATGCGGGCCCCGAGCTGCCGCGCCCGCTCCTGCGACGCCGGTCCGAGCCCCCCCCCCCCATCCCCGTCCTCCGCCGCCCCCAGCGCCCCCCGCCCGGCCCCGCCGCCGCGGCACTCACTGGCTTTGCCGGGCTTGGGCCTCTGCAGCAGCTTCTGCACGGCCGCGATGTCCTCCGCCTTCACCGCCTGCACCAGCTCCTGGTCCTTGCCCATGGCTCCGCCGCGCCGGGGCTGCCGGCTGCGGGCTCACGGCCCGAGCATCCTCCGCGGCTCGGGGCGGGCGGCTCGGTTCGGTTCGGTTCGGCTCCGCACGGCTCGGTACGGGCACGGGTACGGGCACGGGTACGGGCACGGGTACGGGCACGGCGCGGCGCGGCGCGGGCCCCCCCGCCCAGCCCGCTCCGGAGGCGGCGGCGGCGGCGGCGGGCGCCCGGGGCGGGGCGGGGCGCGGCGGGGCGGGGGGGACCGCACCGGGAGCGCGGCGGGCAGCGGGAGGGAGGGAGGGGAGGGGAGGAGGAGGAGGAGGAGGAGGAAGAGGGGAAGGGGCGGGGGCCGCGCCGGTGCCCGCGGGCGGGGCGCGGGGATCCCCCCGGTGCGGGGAAGGTGCCGAGGCCCCGGGGCCGTGGGGTCTCAGCCGCCGGGTGCCCGCAGGGAGGCTGCCTTCGGCCTCGTCTTCCTCCGGGAGGACCCCCCTGCTCCCCCCTCCCGCAGCCCTGCCTGGCGACCGCCAGCCTGTGGTGGCTGCTAATGGGAACCAGGCTGGAGCAGCTTTCCTTAAATAAAGCCTTTATCACCGCCTCGTTTTCCACTCCCGCAGCCACAATGGCCAGGGACACTCGTCCCCTTCCACTTTTTTGTGCCTTAAATGGCCGAGACATTAAAGGCCGGGGGGGTTGGGGGTGTGTTTGGCTGTGCTGAGGGCTGGGGATGCTGATGAACCAGATGGGAAATGGGGCCAGGCGTGGACGAGGCATTGATGTGCTGATAGAGCCTGGTCAGTGCAGAGCACGGCCATCACCGCACAAAATCACACCCAAATTCCTGCTCCCCAGGTAAGTTCCTGTATAAAAGCCCTGCGGAGGTCCTGGCCCCAGCAAACCGATACTGGGGCATGTTGGTCCAGAGGACCTGTACCCAGCTGGTCACTAACGCATTGGTGGCTGCAGTGGGAATGATGGAGGGAACCGAGCTCCTCCTGATGCCCCAAGCTGGATCTCAAGGATCTTTGCAGCCCCCACCTCCCTTTTCAGCCCCCGGCTCCAGGCTGAACCCCCCCTTCAGGGGCAGCGGGGTCCATCTCCTCTCCCCACCCCCACTTTCCAATCCAGGACATTTGGGATGCCAGCGGGAAACGCCGTCTAATCTGCCCTCTAATCCCACCGCCGGGCTGCGGGCGGCTGCATGGGGGGCTTGAGCTGCTCTGGGTCTCCCTGGGCTGGGGGCTGGGGCTCCCAACGTGCCCGGGGGCCCAGGCAGGTCAGGGGCATCCCTCACATCTGCCACCACTTGATAACAAACGAAGCTCCTCAACAAAGGTCCCTTTGTGCCCATTGCTCTCTCCTGCCAGGCTCCTGCACTCAGGGACCCGGCACTGACACGGGACGGGGCAGCCCCATCGGCCTCACTGGGCACCGGGGCCGTTGTGATGGAGCCAGGACCCAGGCAGCGGGGCTGTGTGAGCTGAGAGGGGCACAGGGCCACTGTCCCTCCTGGCCGGGCTAAGGCAGGCTCCTGCAGAGGAGCTCAAAGCAGCTCGCGTTCCTGCGGCTGCCTCCGGGCTCTTGCCAAGTCGGGCTGTGGAGAGCAGAGGAATGTGCAGGGAAATGTCTGTGCTGCTGCCCTGCACACACCGAGCCCAAGCAGCCCCGCACGGGCAGAGCTGAGGGCATGGGGGGGCTGGATTCACCTCCCCTGGCTGCTGAGGGTGATGGAGACTGGCACAGGGTGCCCAGAGAAGCTGTGGCTGCCCCATCCCTGGCAGTGCTCAAGGCCAGGTTGGACACAGGGGCTTGGAGCAAGCTGCTCCAGTGGAAGGGGTCCCTGCCATTGGAACTGGGTGAGCGTTAAGCTCCCTTCTCAGCATTCCATGACTCTGATCCTGCAGGGAGGACACAGCCGCTCTCAAGGAAAGCACAGGGCACACGGACATCTCCATGTGCCCGGAGGCACCACGGGGCATGGGCTGCCCTCTCCCTGCCCTCCATCACGCTCCACAGAGCAGAGCAGGACCCAGGAGCCCAGGAGCTGTCACAGGACAGACCCCAGCTCCCCCCCGGCCTGCACAGGGTGGGCAGAGCCGGGTCCCCCTCCAGCACCCAGCAGCATCTACGAAAATACTTTATTGTGGATGTGGGATGTGCAGGAGGAGGCTCTGTGCAGGGCAGCCACAGCAGCAGCGCAGGCACCCGCACACACGCGACGTGGCCCCAAAACCCATCACGGGGGGGGCAGTGGGAGCCCGGGGGGGGGGTTTCAGTGGTCCCTATGTGGCCTTGGGCCGGGCATTGAGGCGGATGATGGCCCGGTAGTCCCGCACCAGGTCCCGCAGCTGGTCCAGGTAGGGGTTGACGTTCTCCTCCATCCACTCCTCCACCGTGTCGGGGTAATAGACCCTCTCCAAGTGGGTGCGCAGGTCACGGATGAAGCTCTCCCAGTCCTCATGGAGCCTGGTGGGGGCAAGAAGGGGGCTCCAGCTCCCTCCTGTGAGGGACCCCAGAGCTGAGCCCCTCACACGCAGCCAGGGGGGTCCCAGCATCACGTACTTGAGCACCTTGCTGCCAAAGCTCTCCATGTTTCGGGGGTTACCAAACTGGTGCTTCCGATGGTAGGGGCTGAACCAGCCCTTGATGGCACTGGGGAGGCACAGGGAGAAGTGGGAGGCACTCGGGGATGGGGAGCTGCACCTGGAGCAAGTCCCATCCCATGGGAAAAGTCCCGTGCTCCAGCCCTGCTGTTCGTTACCTCTCCTCCTCCAGGGCTTTATGGATGCTCTCCTTCAGGTGGCCATTAACCTGCTCAACCATGTGGTAGATCTCTGCGCCGGGGAACACTCCCCTGCCCTCGCTGGGGAAGGGAGAAGGTGAGAGCTCAACATGTGGGGTGCACAGGGCTGGGGTCCAGCCCCAAGTGGGTTTGGGACCCCCTCCAGTGCATCCCTTCAGATGCCATGGGACAGTGGTGCTGTGGGCACCCCCGACGCAGCCACTCACCATGTGCTCTGCTCCAGCTGCATGCTCTCGAAGCCCAGCACATCCAGGACCTTCCTCTTTGTCTCTTCCGTGAATCCCCCTGGGCAGAGCAAAGAGAGGGGCAGAAGGGGTCCCCCCAGCAGCAAAGCCAGGGGCGCTGAACCCATCCTTCCCCTGCTTCCCACCTCCCAGCATCCCTCCCTGCAGGATGGGGTCTCGCTGTGGGGCAGGGAGATGGGGCTGGCAGCAGGGTGGTGGATGCTCACCGGTCACCAGGGTCTGCAGGCAGATGGCCAGCGAGGGGATTCCAACAGGCAGCAGCTCGCAGAGCACCGAGAAGTGATCGTACCTGCGGGTGGGAGCATCACCCATCACCTCCTGCACGGCACCAGGGAGGACGCGGGTACCAGCGCCCTCACCTCTGCCAGCCCGTGAGGACCATGCCCTGGAGGCGCAGCGGGGCCAGCTGGGGCAGCGCCTCCATCACCCGCAGCCAGCTCAGGTGGTTCCTCAGGTGGAAGCTCAGCGGGGGCCAGGCCTGCGCTGGTCCCGTGGTGCCCTTGAAGGCGCTGGCGAACCACACGGCCTCGAAGCCGCTCTCCGCGTACTTGGTGAGGAACGGCACTGCCGGGGGGGGGAGACACCGGCGGTACCGTACCCGGGAGGCTGGGGGGAGCGGAGGGCAGGCTCCTCCACCAGCCCAGGCACATCGCCTTACCGAGCTGCTCGGCCTCAAAGTCGGGTGCATAGAACCACACCACAGGAGAGACGTGCTTGGCTATCCCAGACTCTGCAGAGGGAGCAGGGACAGGGATGTGGGTGCTGGCGCCAGCAGCAGGAGGATGCCTGATGCTCCTCATGCTCCCCTGGACCTGCATCCCTGCAGGACCAGGCACCGGCCATGACACACAAGCTCCTGTGCCACCGACTGCTTTATCCCTGTCCTCTCACCCTGCAGGGCTCCCACGCTGATCTTCCGCAGCATGTCATCCCACATGAGCACCCGCAGCCCCCAGTACTGTGTGGTGATGAAGCCCAGCACCTCCTTGATGTGGTTCAGGTACATGGTCCCCGTGTCGCCCTTGTTGTGGCTCATCCAGTTCTTGGAGTCCATCCCCTCCCCGAGATGGAAGACCTGGATTTGGGGGAAGGAGGATGCTCAGCACCCCTAGGAACACCTACAGAGCCTGGGTGAGGGCTGGGGTCCCGGCAGAGCCCAGTGCCCACCTCATCTGCACCGATGTGGATCCATGTGGAGCGCTTGTGCTTCTCCATCACCTGTGCCAGGATGCTCTTGAGCAGGGCCAGGGTGTCAGGGCTGTGAGGGTTGAAGCTGTTGGGGAAGCGCTCGACCTCCCGCAGGCGCTGGTACTTCTCGTGCTTGAGGATGAACTGCACCGGAGGAGCCGTCAGGGGCTGCGATCCCCCTGGCCCCCCCATCACGATGCGGGGTGAGAAGCAGGAGCATCTCCTACCTCCACGTGCCCAAAGGTCTGCACCAGGGGAACCACCTCCAGCCTGTGCAGCTCTGCCAGCTGCTGGATGCGCTCGATGTCCTCCTCGCTGGGAGGGCAGGGACAGGCTCAGTGCGGGCACAGGGCAGAGCACGAGGCCATTCCCTCCTCTGCTGCCCCACACCCGCGTGGACTTTGCTATGGGGACACAAATATTGACCCGGCGGGGCAGGAAGCTGGGCTGGGGCACCCGGCCCGGCCCTCGCACCGTGGTTATCGTGGGGCCAGGCACGTCACACCCAGCCCTGGCTCACCTGTACGCGTACGGGGACTTGAGGACTTCCAGCTCCCCTTTGAAAGGGAACATGTCCTCGTACTCCATGAGGACGCCGTTGGCTCCCAGCAGGGACAGGAGTGGGAACACCTGCATTGGGCAGCGTGGGCTCGTTCCTGGTGCTCAGCGCCCTGGGCACATCCCTCCCATCCTCAGCATCTATCTCACCTGCTCCAGGTAGGAGACGCGGGGCGCAGCTCCCTTGAGGTCCAGGTGGACCAGCCTCATCTCGGTGGCACTGATGTCCCTGGTGACCTGCTGCTGCCCAGCCTCCTGCCTCGGGGCTGTTATCTTGGCCACAGGGAGCAGCAGGACCTGGCTCTGGGGGCCGGTGTCCTCCACGGTGTCACCAGCATCCCCCCAGAACCCGCTGTCCTTGCTCACGTGCTTGTGCAGCTCCAGGGTAAAGCTGCAGAGACCGCACCATTGCTGGGGTGCCCCCACACAGACAGGGGGACCCCATGAACCCCAACACCCCCCCCCCCTCCTGCTGTCTCTTTACCTGTCACGGAACAGGAACTTGATGCCGGCCAAGGCCACGAGGAGCAGCACGACGAGGCGCAGCAGGTTCAGCCGGTGGCTCCGCTGGAAGCCCATCCCTGCAGGACACACATGGAGGCCCCAGGCAGCACCCCGGGGCTAGGCAGGGACCCCAGCCCCCCCATCCATCCCCATGTCCCGTGCCCTGCTCCTGGCCAGGCCAGCACCACACCTGGAGAAAGGGGGGTACCCTCCCAGCACCCTGCTCCCCACGGGGCCATGCGCAGGGTACCCCGTGTCCCTCCTACCTCATGAGCCCCAGCCTGGGGCCAGCGCCCGGAGCTGCCTTTGCCTCTGCCTGCCCGGGCGCAGCCTCCTTGGCTCTGCCAGCGCGGGAGCAAACAGGGTGGTGGCTGCAGGGCAGGTCCCCAGCGGGGTCCCCTGAGCCCTGTGAGGCCGGGGCAGTGTCACGGGGCCGGTGGCTGCAGTGGCATCAAGGGGGGTCCCTGCGGATGGAGGGGATGGGATTGGACCATCGGGAACATGGGATGGGCACTGGCATGAGGGTGGCAGCATGGACCCCCCCCCCCCAGCACCCATGGGGACGGGCACCATCTACCATGGAGGGGAAGGGGCACAAACCAGTATCTGATCCCTTGTGGGACAAGGAAAGCTCGAGTCAGAGTTGCCACAATTAAGGTCAATCATATTCATTCAAAGTCCTTTCCCCCCCTAAAGCAATACTGATAACTCCTGAGATGGGGAGGGACCAATTCAGCTGGGTGTGAGCCCAAACCACAGGCAGCCCCATGGAGCAGGAGGCAGTGGGTGCCCCTTCCCTGCTGCCCCCCATGGCCACAGCCCGAGGGCTTGTGCAGAGGTTTGTATTCAGTGTGTGACCAGCCCCGACACCAGCCCTGCAGCAGCAGGAGATGCTCCACGCATCCAGACCCTGGTGAGCGCCACACTGGGACAGCACTGGGACACCCCAGCAGCTCCCAAAGCCCTTTTGGCTGAGCTGCACCTGAGTTCAGGGTTCAAGCCAGCAGCTGATGGATTTAGGAACTGGAAAGCAGCTTTGGCGCTGCACAAGCGGCTCAGCCGATCTCAAGGGCTTGGTTGGTGGTGCCAGAGCACTGGCTCCAGGGGACAGCCATTGAGCTGCCCCATGGCAGGGCTCTGAACCAGCCCTTGCCCAAGACACAGCACTAATCCCTCTGGACACACTCTTCCACTGCCATGGGGCACAGGAAGGGTGCAGAGACCGGGACCCCAGCACATCCTTCAGAGCCAGCCTGGGATGTGCTGTCCTCAGCCACATCACAGGGCAGTGCGGGAAGGAGCTGGAGCATCCCATCCCCATCCCCCAGATCCCGTGGGTACCAGGTCCCTCAGTGCTCATGCACAGGCTGCAGGGCAGGAGCCTGGTTTTGGGGCATGTCGTGCCCGTGCTGTCCCCTGCATGGACACAATGCCCTGTGCTCAGGGGACAGACGTGGCACCCACACTCTGCCCTGTCCAGCCCTGGGTGCTCCTGGCAGCTCCAGCACAGCGCAGCAGGGATGTGCCAAGCTGGAAATAGGAACGTGCCAGGCTGGGGATGCTGCCAGCCCGGCATCACCCCCATCGGGTGCATGGGGAGGCACAGGAGGACATGGGAGTGGGCACGGGGAGCCCAGCACATGGGAAGACCATCACCATGCCGAGTGCTGATGGTGCCGCGATGGGAACACCGCACCGGATCGGAGCAGGGATCAATATTGAGACAGACACTGTCAGCCTGCTCAGAGCTGGCACTGTTACTGCGTGATCTTATTTCAACAGAGAACAGGTTCTGGGATCCAAGCCCCTTTGGCACGGCCCAGGCAGGGTGGGCACGTGGGGCGCAGCACCAAGGGGGGACGGGGCAGCCACGACGCGGTGCCAGTGCCGAGGGGTGATCCCTTTGTAGGCAGGGCTCAGCTGATCCCCGCTGCCCCTCGCTCCCGGCATCCCGCCGCCAGCACCCGCTGGGCATGGGAATGTGACATCTTCCTCTGCCAACCCTTTGGGAACGGCGCTGGCACGGTCCCCAGGAGGCTTGGAGCAGCCCCTGGCTCAGTGCTCGCAGGAGCCATGGGGCAAGGAGGGAACAGACCCTCACCCCCCTGGCTGCATCCACACAGGTGGGGTTTGCGCCCCGCTCCCCCAAACCAGCCCGGTTCCCTGCTCACCTTCCCGAGCCTGGAGGAGGGGGGAAAGGAAGCAAATCCCAACCTGGGCCTGGGGAGAGTGGGGCCATGGGAAGGATGGAGCTGAGAGCCTCCAGGGTGCTGGGTGCCGCTGCAGGGCACGGGCTGGCAGCAGGATTCGGGGTGCCGCTGTGGGGTTTGGATGCCACCCCCTGCTCCCCCCTCTGCTCTGTCATTCCCAGCCATTGCCATGCCAAACCCTCGCTCCCATCAGAAGAGTGACGCTGCTCCATGCACCCCCCTGTGCACGCTCACACTCACGTGCACGCTCACACGCTTCCAGAGCCTTCTTCTGTCAGCCTGGCCGAGGCCACCCCTCATTCCCAGGAGTTCCATTGCGGAATGAGCTGTCCCTTGCCATGGGGAGCTGCAGACCCTGAGCCCTAACAGCAGCAGGAGGGGCCCCTGGTCACCCCCTGCACCCCACAAGCAGGGCCACCCCATGTCCTGGGTACCACTCAGGCATCCCCTCGCCCTACAGCAATCTCTGGGCTCTGCTCTCCATCCTGGCAGCCTCGGTCTCCACTGCGGCACTGGGAATCTCTGCATCCCACTGAGCATCCCTGCATCCCCCTGGCAACCGGGCATTCCAGCATCCCTGCATCACCTCGGGCATCCCTGCATCCCCCTGAGCATCTCTGCATCACCTCGGGCATCCCTGCATCCCCCTAGCAACCGGGCATTCCAGCATCCCTGCATCACCTCGGGCATCCCTGCATCCCCCTGAGCATCCCGGCATCCCACCGGGCATCCCCCCCCTCCGGCCATCCCCGGCTCCCCCGGCCCTTACCGGCAGGTGCGGGGCCGCCGCGGGTTCGAGCTCGGGCCGCAGCCGCTGCCGCTCTTAAAGGGCCCGTTCTGCGGCGGCACCGCGGGCGCTGCGGTGGGAAGTGCAGAGGATGCTCCGGTCCCCGACACCCCCGTGCACAGCGGGGCGGCACCGGCAGGGCGGGGACCGGGCCCCACGCACCGGTGCGACACAGGCGCGGAGGGGACACCGGCACGGCCCTGCCCCGGGGGTGGCACCGGCCCGAAGGGGTGGCACCGAGACCGCTCCTCGGCGGGCCTGCACGAGCCCGGTGTGTGACCGGTTCCGGTGTGTGACCGGTTCTAGTGCCCGGTTTCGGTGCCCGGTTCCCGTGCCCGGTTCCGGTGTGTGCACGGTTCTAGTGCCCGGTTCCGGTGGGTGCCCGGTTCCGGTGGGTTCCCTGTTCTAGTGTCTGGTTCCGGTGGGTTCCCTGTTCTAGTGTCTGGTTCCGGTAGGTGCCCGGTTCCGGTGCCCGGTTCCGGTGGGTTCCCGGTTCCAGTGCCTGGTTCCGGTGGGTTCCCTGTTCCAGTGCCCGGTTCCGGTATACGGCCGGTTCTGGTGTGTGCCCGGTTCCGGCGCCCGGTTCCGGTGTGTGCCCGGTTCCAGTGCCCGGTTCCGGTGTGTGCCCGGCTCCAGTGCCCGGTTCCGGTTCTGGTCCCCGCTGCCCTCCCGGGGGTCTCAGCCAGCGCCCCCTGGCGGCTCCGCTCGTAGCCCGCTCCTTCCCCCGTTGCTCCATGGTCTGGCCCCCCCCCCCCCCCCCCGCAGCGCTCATGGTACCTCCCGCCGCCCCGTCGTGCGCATGCGCTCTCCGACAGAGCCCGCCTCAAGCGGCGTCACTCCATGCGCGCTGAGCTCCGCGCCTTCCGCGCGTGCGCAGAGCGCTCAGCGCCGGTACCGGAACGGAGCCGGGCTCTGCTGGGTCCCGGTGCCCGCGGTGCGGTGACCCTGGGCGGGACCATGAACGCGGCGCAGGGCACGGTGGGCAGCGACCCGGTCATCCTGGCCACGGCCGGCTACGACCACACGGTGCGGTTCTGGCAGGCGCACAGCGGCATCTGCACCCGCACCGTGCAGCACCAGGACTCCGTATCCTTCACCGGGGGGGGCCGCGCACCGGGTGCGGGAACGCGGGGCCGGGCTCCGGCTGCTTCGTACGGACCTTAACGGGTGCGTGCAGCAGGTGAACGCGCTGGAGATCACACCGGACCGCAGCATGATCGCTGCCGCAGGTGAGCGCGCCCGGCCCCGGTGACAGCGGGCACGGGTGGCATCGGGGCCGTGGGTCACCCCCTGCCCGCTCCTCGCTGCAGGCTACCAGCACATCCGCATGTACGATCTCAACTCCAACAACCCCAACCCCGTCATCAACTACGACGGCGTGAGCAAGAACATCACCTCGGTGGGCTTCCACGAGGACGGGCGCTGGATGTACACGGGCGGGGAGGACTGCATGGCCAGGATCTGGGACCTCAGGTGGGCACCGCCACCACCGGCACCACCGCCACCAGCAGCAGCATCCCGAAAGCTGTGGAGCTCATCACACGCCGTTAACCACGCTCTGTGCTCGCTGTTCTCTTACAGGTCTCGTAACCTCCAGTGCCAGCGCATCTTCCAGGTGAACGCTCCCATTAACTGTGTGTGCCTGCACCCCAACCAGGTGAGCCCCGGTCTCGCTGTGGCTTCACAGCCCAGGCTTTGCTCTTGCTCCTCCGGGTGGGCCTGAGGGGCTGCAGAGTTCTATATGGCATCCACAGCAAGAGATCTGGTGGCAAAGACCCATGAGCATTGCAGGATATGGAGCAGCCACGTTTGTGCTCATTACCTGGTGGCTGATGCAAATGGACAGTAGTGGCAGCACTGGGAGCGTCCCCATTCCTTTGGGGCTGTCTGCCCCATAGGCATAACTAAGGGGGTGTGCTGGGGTGGAAGTGGTGGCATGGGGTGGGATGGGGAGCGTGAGGGTGTTACCTCTGCCAAGGAGCACACCCCAGGGCTGCAGTTACCATCAGGACTTGGGTCAGATTTGCTCGAGGCTCATGTTCACCACTTGGGTGACGAAGGAAGGGATGGCCAGGGCTTGAGAAACAAGGCTAAGCTGGAGCACAGAGCATTGGAGGGCATGGTGGTGGTATCATTGCAGTGTTAATAACCCATCTGGTCCGTTTTGTGTTCACAGACTCGGCAGCACAAACCTCTGTAAACAGCCAAGCACCAGAAATGTTTCTTTGTTTGATCTCCAGAAGGTTTAACCTCTGAGTCTGGAATTTCAGACCCGATTTGAGATCAATGATTTGGATCACACTTCACCCAGATGCTGCCGATGCTCCTATAGAGCCGGTGCTGTGCGAACATACAGTGTTCAAGCCAAGCATTATTGTTGTACATAGATCTTACACATGAAGTCATCACTAGCTGAGATGCTGCTGAGGTGCTGGTCTGTGAGCAGAAGGCAGTTAGTTAGTCCCAAGGTGGCAGTGTTCATGCGGATAGCTTCATCCCTCTGCAGTTCCCTGTTGCCATGATGCTGATAGAGGCTTCTCACAGCCTGGGTACAGCGGTGATGGCTTTAGCAATGGCATTTTCAGCTGCTAAGAGTGAGTTGGGTCTCAAGAACCAAAAAAGACTCCAAACTGTGTTCCTCAGAAACCAGCCTTTGCCTCAGGGGACAGGAATAGCTGGTCCTGGGACCTGCTGAAGCGATGCTGTTGCATAGCTGTCAATAAAAGCCCTGGGTTAGTGGAGAGCTGCCAGCATGGTCTGCTCCGAGCATGGGAGTGGAGCCAGAGCTCTGCCCTTCAGCTTCCTCTTGTCCTTCCCCTGAGGAGGGAGGGAGAAAAGCCCATTTAGGCTGGAGGTTCTCAGGTATTCGTACACTCCTGAGTGCTTCAGTTGTTCACCGGCCAACCTGCATCTGAATGCCCGTGGCTGGGATGTGCTGAAAATCCTTTGGCTTCTGTGGAAGCTGCTGGAGCTGTGCAAAGGTTCTGGAACTGAGGCATCTTCTGCCTGCTCTGGGGTATATAAAGTGAGCAAACACTTCTGTAAAGCCTTTTTGCAGTGTGAGGTCCGTGCTCTGCTTGCTCTCAGTGCACAGGCACTCAGCAGGCTCCTAGGGCTCTGAAGCAGCCCTGCGCTGCGGAATAATGAGGTGAAACAGGACCATGATGCTTAAAACCAGAGCAAGGCTCCACGGGCATGATCTGAGCATCAGCTTGAGGCTGCTGCTTGCGGGGTTCTCCTCAGAGACACGAGGCTGCTGCTCTCTTGCAGGCAGAGCTGATAGTGGGTGATCAGAGCGGCGCCATTCACATCTGGGACCTGAAGACTGACCACAATGAGCAGCTGATTCCAGAGCCTGAAGTTTCTGTGAATTCAGTTCACATTGACCCTGATGCCAGTTACATGGCAGCTGTGAACAGCTCGGTGAGCCCCCATGGCATCCAGTGTGGGGGGGGGGGTTTATGGGGCTCAGGTGCACGTACCAGCATTGCCTGCAGCGGGGCTGGGGTCGGACATGGGAAGTCCAGGCTTCTTTGGGGTGGGCGACCATCACCCCCTGTCTCCCCACAGGGACACTGCTACGTGTGGAACCTGACGGGTGGCATCGGGGAGGAGGTGACTCAGCTGATCCCCAAGACCAAGATCCCTGCACACAACCGCTACGCGCTTCAGTGCAAGTTCAGCCCCGACTCCACGTGAGTGCTGCAGCCAGCTGTGGGAAGTGATGGTCCTTTTGGGCAGGCAGAGGCCAGCTGCGCCTCCAGATGCGGCTGGTGCTGGCTCCGCACTTCCCTGCAGGTCCCCAGGGAGGAGCAGGACATGGCACTGAGTAGCTATCAGTGCATCCCAGCCTCGTGGACCATGATCTCAACAAGCTTTGTGGCCATGAGGTGTTTTAAAGCTGGGGTTCAGTTGCTGATCTCCAGGAGCAAAGTGGGGAACTTGGTGTCCTTCACAAGCCTGTTCAGCTCGAATCTTGTAAAGCAGATGACATAGGTGTAAAGAAATGGGGTTGCAATGAGCTCAGGTCTCCAGTTCACTGCTGCTCCAGGCCCAAGTTAATGAGAGGCCCTTGGGCATGCAGTGTGAGTAATGAGGCTGCCCTTGCACATCTCTGCCTCGCAGGCTCTTGGCTACGTGTTCTGCAGATCAGACCTGCAAGATCTGGAGGACTTCAAACTTCTCACTGATGACAGAGCTGAGCATTAAGAGCAACAACCCAGGAGAAACATCTCGGGGCTGGATGTGGGACTGCGCCTTCTCCGGGGACTCCCAGTACATCGTCACAGGTGAGGCCCTGCTGCGCTGCTTGGTTTGGGCTGCAGGGCCCTGCACTAGCACAGGACTCGCCCATTTCTATAGCTGGGACATTGCCAAACCCAGCTGGGTGAGGAGAGCACCCAGCCTCACACCCACAACACAGCCTACTAACTCCCTTAAGTGTCTACTAACTCCCTTAAGCATCTACTGACTCCCTTAAGTGTCTACTTTTAAACTCTCTTAAGCACCTACTAACTCCTCTAAGTGTCTACTAACTCCTATGCTGCAACAGGGCATCTGTTCAAACTGGAGGGATGTTTTTCACCTGTGCAGTTTGTTTCACCTGATAGCACTGCTGCTGGCAGCACGAGGCAGGATGGCCCCTTCAAACCACGCATGTTGTAACATCCACAGTAACACATAAACCTTTGTATAATACAGAAATGCAGCAAGCTTCTTGCTCTGCACAGCTCCCTTACCTCTTGTCGTAATAATAGTGTTGAATGAAGCAAGAGGAAAGTCTTGTAATAGTAATTAAAAGGTAAGTGTAAAGGTTAATGCAGTTTACCCCGTTCTTCTCCCATTTCTCTCCAGCCTCCTCTGACAACCTGGCCAGACTTTGGTGCGTGGAGACAGGAGAGATCAAGAGGGAATACAGTGGCCACCAGAAAGCAGTTGTCTGCCTGGCTTTCAACGACAGCGTCTTGGGCTGACAGCCGCATCGTGGGAGGAGAGGACCTCTGCTTGTTGTCCCTTGTCCTGCAGTGGCAACACCCTCTCTGGAGCCTGAGACACAACCTGTAACCACCATCCCTTCCTCTGGTGAAGGGCTCAGTCTCTGGCAGCAACACCTGCCTCTGCCCCGGTGGGACCAGGCTGCAGCTCCAAGCACATCATCACTGAAACACATGTGGCTTCCAAGGGAGGCTGCCTGGACAAAAGGGAATGGGAGAGGGAGGCAGGATCCCACCGAGGGCAGCAGGGTGCTGTTCAGCCAGAGGAATCCCTGTGGCATCAGCTGCTGACAGCTCTCTGATGTTCCTGTATCCCAAAGTGGGGGAAAAATAAATCAGCCTTTCTAACTGCTGGAAGAGGCTGAGCAGAGGAGAGGCAGCTGATTCCTTAGTTTGCAATCCCTTTATTCAAAGTGTAAGTCACAGACTCGCTGGGAGAGCTGCACTGCTACAAAGCCAACCCCCCCAGCAAGTGTAATAACCTTGTGTTGAGCAGGGCTTGTAGCCGTGTAACACGAGCTACACCACAGAATGCCTCTAGGCCTGGATCTCCTAATACCTACGTACACAGTGCAGGCCTGAGCACAGCTGCAAATAAAGTGTCTGTCATGGTCAGCTGCAGAGTTATGGTCATTCTCTAAACAGTCTTTGCCAACAGCATGAGATCAGGAAGCTCTGGGGGTGGTGGAACTGTTACCTTCCTTGGAATCAGAGGTGTCTCAGGAATCCACTTCAAGTATGTAGAGAGGGAATCCACGGCTGCAGGACTTACTCGGGGAGGTAATAGAAGCAGATAGACACACAAATGTTGCTTGGAAAGCAGATGTCAATGCAAAGGTAGATGAGGCGCTGCTTCCCTGGACCTGCCAAATGAGCAAGGACAGAAGCAGGGTGAGGGGAAAGCTCCTGTAGTCGCTGGGGAGCCAGCCAAGCAGAGAGCCTCCAGGAATGACCTTTCCCATTAAAGCTGGAGTGAGATGGAACAGAAGGAGAGCTCAGCAGGCTGATTTGGTGAGGATGGAGGTGACAAGCATTAAGCCACCAGCACTGCAGGAGACTGCTCTGGGGCTGCACAAGCTGCTATGTTGCCTGGAGAAGGGGCCTCGGAGCCTTTGCCAGCTGGTTCACTGCAGGTTGTGGGTACGAGCCAGCCCTTGGGGAGCACTAACAATAGTCTGATTCTCACTAGAGGTCACCTGTCCCTTGGCAGCCCATCTTAGGACACGCATCAGCTTCTGCACAGCCCAACCTGCTCCTCTGAGGGGTACTAGAACAACCACACCTCCCTCCTGTGCAAAGGGAAACACACACCACTCACCCTCGCTTCTCCTGACCCTGAAGATGGGTGTCTGCTCACACAGGCTCTGCACAGGCTCCCCCAGGCCCCGGGGGTCCACCTCTCCCCCTGCCAGAACACCCAGGAACTCCTGGTAGTGCTTGGTCTGGTTATTGAGACGGAGCAGCTGATCAGCCTGGAACAAACAATGTCCCTGTTAGTTCCTCCCCAGGCTCTTTGTCCCTCCTGGCCCTGTGGCTTGGGGAGCAGGGGACACACAGGCCATTTGGTGGCCAGGACAGGCACCACCGACTCTTTGACTTCCATGAAGGAGCCTTATAGCCAGGCAGATACTTTCTCCTCTTTGCAACCCCTTTGGTAGCCTGCCCTGGTGGGTGCTGTGCTCCTTCACTGCTCTGGGTTAAACACTACAGCAGCAGGCAAAGGAGCCCCCGAGGTAATGGAGAGCAGATGACAGGGGCACAAAACCATGGGGCCTTCTGTCTTCTTGAAACAGAATCTGCCCCCTGCCCATGCATCCATTAGCATTGAGTTCAGAGGGTCTGTGTACATGCTTTGCTCCAACCTTCCTCTCCGTGAATTGCTAACAAGCCCCCTTTGTTTTTTGTTCCCTGGATTTCTGAGCAGGTAACAGAATCCAGTGGGAGTGGGTCCTGTGAGAGCCCTGCTATTCACCCCATGGGACATATCCCCCCCTTCCCAAGTGCAGCTCTGCTGTTTCTCACAGATTGGGTATCCATAAAAGCAGGAGCTGCTGCTCTGAGCTCACACACAGCACTCCAAAGCAGAGCCCTGCTCCTGTGCCAGGCACCAACCCAGCCCCACCAAGCAGTGAACACCAAGCTGCTACCCCGGCTGGGAGAGCCCCTGCCCTCATTTAGCCACATTTGGGATGCTGGTGTTAAAGAGTCAGCACTGCAAACCCAAATCCCTGCAGGAAACGGCCTTCAGCAAGGCAGGACTCTGTGCAAAGCCCAATTCATCACCCCTGACCACTCAGCTGCCCCAGGAGCGGCCGCAGCCGCTGCTCACTCTCTGCTCAGACGTGTTGAGAGGTGTCTGTAGGGCTTGGAGGTCCCAGGAGTCCATCCTCTTCAGGTAGCACACATGCTGCTCCATGGGCTTGTAGCACACGTAGCCCTGCAAGACAGATCGTGCCCCTTTAGAGCAGTCAGTGGCCCCCACAGCTACCTTAACAGCCCCCAGGTGGACATCCCTCCTTTTGCCCTGTGTTCTTTCCTAACTAAAGGTGCAGAGAAAGGCCCCTAAAGTAGGTGGTTAATGCATTTCCTGGTCTACACCTCCTGCTCCCACCTCTGTAACTCTTCTCGCACCAGCCTGGGCTCCTCTGTTCACCCCCATGCACACAAGGAAGGTGATGTAACACACTTACATTCCTGCTGTCGTACAGCACCACGGCGGTGTGGTTGCTCTGTGAGGTGATGTAATAGGTCACGGTGCTCCTGGACTTGTCCACCAAAGCTGTCTGATTTCTCAGCAGGTCCTGCTGGCCCTCAAGTGTCAGACGGACGAGCTGCGAGCCAGCCTGGGCACAAAGAGAGGGACAATGCCACCAATCACAGGATCCCAGCCTGGTTTGGGTTGAAGGGACCTTAAAGCTCATCCAGCTCCAACCCCTGCCATGGACAGGGACCCCTTCCACTGGAGCAGCTTGCTCCAAGCCCCTGTGTCCAACCTGGCCTTGAGCACTGCCAGGGATGGGGCAGCCACAGCTTCTCTGGGCACCCTGTGCCAGCGCCTCAGCACCCTCAAAGGGAAGAGCTTCTGCCTAAGAGCTCAGCTCAGTCTCCCCTCTGGCAGGTTCAAGCCATTCCCCTTGGCCTGTCCCTACAGGCCCTTGTCCCAAGCCCCTCTCCAGGTTTCCTGCAGCCCCTTTAGGCACTGGAGCTGCTCTAAGGTCTCCCCCTTAAGGAGCCTTCTCTTCTCCAGTCTGAACAGCCCCAGTATTCTCAGCCTGTCTGCATACAGGAGTTGCTCCTGCCCCTGATTATCCTCATGGCCTCCTCTGGACTCATTCCAACAGCTCCATGTCCCTCTTGTGCTGCTGCCCTGGAGCTGGATGCAGGGGAGAGCTCAGGAGAGCAGGATCTGCCTCCCCAGAGGGCACACATTGGAACTCTCCTGCTTTGACACAGAGCAGCTCAGCACTCACACTGTGACTCACTTGAAGGGATGCTGTTTTTAGCACCCACTTCAGCAGCAATGCCAGCACCTTCCTGCCCCTGTACCTGCTGGTCTTCCAGAATGGGGAACCAGCTGAAGCCAGCCCAGATCACAGCTATCATGGTTTAAGCCCAGCCGGTAACCCAGAACCATGCTCACAGCCCGTCTGTGTCCACCTCCGCTCCCGGAGGGATGGGAGCAGAATCAACAGAATATAAATCCCATGGCTTGGGACGGAACAGTGCAGTAACTCAGGTACAGCACAAACCCACTGCTGCTACCACCAATAACAATAATGATAAGGGGAAAACAAGGGGAGAAAATATGAAACTAAAAAGGGAAGGAAAAACCCCAACAATAAACACAAGTGATGCCCAATACAATTGCTCAGCACCCACCAACCCAGTGTGACCTGAGCAGTGATCTGTGCCTTCCAGGTGACTCCCCCTGGTCTCTATCATGGGCACGATGTGCTGTGGGATGGAATACCCTTTGGCTAGGTTGGGTCAGGGGTCCTGTCTCTGCTTCCTCCCAGCTTCTTGTGCCCCCCCTCACTGGCAGAGCATGAAACTGAAAAGTCCTTGATCAGAGTAAACTTTACTGAGCAACAACTAAAACATCAGTGTGTTATCAGCACTGTTCTCAGGCTAAAGCCAAAACACAGCTCTGCACCAGATACTAAGGAGAAAAACAACTGTACAGTTGAGAACCAGCTGAATCCAGGACAGCAGCCCATTCATCCCTCCCACCAAGTGCTGACATACATTAAGGCTGTGGTGAGCAGAAGTCTTCCTGCCTGATTGGTGTCTCTTACCTCAGCAGAGCTGGGGGAGAAGATGAGGACCCCCAGGATGCTGATGCCAACGGCACAAAGCAAGGCGATGGACAGGATGATGCAGAAGGTCCTGCGTGGAGCTGTGAAGCGCACTGCAGCTCTCCTGTCCTGGGAGACAAGGCAAGAAGGAAAGGAGTTAAAACCAACCCTCCTACTGATTATTCTTCTTCCCCGTAACAGGCAATTCCCACTGATGACACAGATCATTGCACAAACTGAGGGGGTTTGAGTGCAGAACTGCCCAAACATTGCAGCAGCCCCGGAATAACATCACTTTTATCCCACAGTGCTGGAGTTTCGGGTCTGACATCCCGGTGATGGGTACTCCCACAGCTGAGCACCTTCCTCCTGCAGCCACGGGAGCATGGAAACACTGGGAAGCCACTGGAGTAGGGCTGGAGCTGGAAGCTTTCCACAGAGGAGCTGCTGCTGCTGTGCTTTAGCAGCAAATTAACTTACTTTGGTTTATAGCAGAAATCCCCAGAGAACCATCAGCATTTGGAACAGCCCCTGTTGGAGCGATCCTGCTTCAGTGCCCCACTCTGTGTTTGATTGTATTTACCTTCTTGATCAGCTGTTCTTGTGCAGACCAAGCTGTCACCTGAAGCAAAAGAGCTTGGCACTCACCTTAATGCTTACATGGAAACAACTTTAACTTAATGGCACCTAACATTATTCTTTGCAAGCAGAAAGGATGTGCTTCCAGTAATCCCAACTGTGCAGCCCCCATTAGAAAAGAAGCAACCCGTTTCTCAGTCTGAAGGACATGAAGAAATCCAATACATGCCCGTGGTTAGAACTGCTGCAGCCACACGAGGAAGGGATTCTTCCAGGCTCTGGGTCAGTTATGGATCCTTTTTGGTGATATGTAACCTCCAGACCTACCCCACCACAGAAGCAGTGAGTCCCACCAAAGGCCAGCCTGGGCAGAGCTGCAGGCTTAGCAGTCCAGATGCAACAGTGCTCAAGCCCTATGCTCCCAGGCAGGCTTTCAATAGCTAATGGAATTCCCTGCATGGGAAAAGTGCAAAGAGAGAAATCCAGTGACTCCCAGCCCTGAGGCTCTCCCATGGCTCTGCAGGGTGCAAGTGGGGTGCTCCAGCACCTCTACCCTGACCATCCTGCCCTGCCTTGTGGAAGCCCAAGCACGTCTTAAGAAAATCCATCTGACAGGATGAACAAAACCTCACCAGGATCCCCGGGAACAGGAGGAGCTCAGCCCCTTCAATAAGGAATTGATCACGCCCAGAGTGGGGTCTCCCTCTGTGACAGGGGGGACGGGGAATACTCACTGTGGAGACAGCGCTGCCAGGGTTATTCCTGCCTTCCATCCTCCACTTCAAATGAGGCCCTTGCTCCTGCAGCTCTGCCTCCTGGTTCTATGCAGACTGTATATGCAATTACAACTCCCGGTACACTTGGAAACCCAAATTAAAACAAGCGTGCATCTAGAAGAAATGGTCCATCGTGCCAAAAGTAATTCCAGCCAGGAGTTCCTCAGCCCAGACTTTGGGAGGCTGAAACCTGAGAGCTGCCACCTGGGCAGAGGAGAAGAGATGGGGCTGAATCCAGGAGTGCTGAGTGACGCTGTCAATGCCTAACACGGTGCTTCCTTGTGAGTGGGCTGGAGGGGACAGGATGACAGTCAGGGACTTTGTCCTGGCCTTCCCTCCTGGCAGGGCCACTGCAAGCTCATGAAGAGTGGAAAATAGAGCAGAAAGGAGGGGTAGCCTGCCCCTGTCATCAGTTACTTCCCACTGTCAACACAAAGCTCGTGCTGCCGGAGCTCCACAGGCTGAGGCCAAGTGTTCCTCCTACAGGCTGCTGCCCTGCAAGCCTCAGCTGCACAGACATGCTTGTGCTCTACCAACAGACCTCGTAGTAGGTAGCCCCTGGGAGAAGGATCTCTGCTAGAGGCATCACCACAACCCCAGCTGCACTCATGTTCATGCCCCACCAGGCTGTGGCATCCACAGGAGTCCCCAAGAGAGGTTTGTGGATTTGAGACCTGCCAGCGAGATGCAAGCAACTGAACGGAGGCAAGGGAAAGCTCAGAATGCCTTCATGTAGTCTCTGTTAAGGGAAAGTAAGGCTTTTGGACATTTTCCTATTAAGCACAGCCAAGGACTAATCCAATTCAGCCAGGAGGGCAGCTCATCGTGGAGCTTCTCATCACCAAAGCACTGGCAATCCTTCCCCACTCACTCTTTCCTGCTGTAAGTCAAAAGTTAGCTATTTCAGTGGCAGCATCCATCCAGCTCTGGTACAATGCTTCCGTGGGATGTGAGCTCCAGCTCTGAACAAACACGCCCTGTACTGTGGCACTGCTGAGAGCAGAACAGGACCGGCACAGCCAAACCAGAGCTCTGCTTCACTGGGCAATGCGCAGTGATCCCGCAGCACTGATCCCACATCACCACCTGCAGCTGAGCTTCGCACAAGAGGTGTGAGAACCAAGCAGCAACATACAGATGGGGGGTTCTCCCCAAAGAGACTGTAACAGCCATGCAGGAGACACTTTCTTGCTCTAAGAAATGGAGGCCCTGCCTAATCTGAGGCACAGAATTAAGCGAAACCCTCTACAAAACACTGGGGGTGGCAGGATTGAGGATCGCTGTGTTCTGCTCAGCACTGTGCTCTTCAAGAAGCAAATCTGAGCCCACATCAAGGGATTTGGGACCCAAGCCCCAGAAATACCCTCCAGAGCTTAGATTACTCTCCCCATTTCTGCGTGTGAGGAGTAAAGACAACAACCACAAACCAACCCCTAAATCCCACAACCTTCACGCAGCACACCTGTGCCAAAGATCAGAGAAGAGACTTCAAAGTGAGACAACGCTGGGGAAAGCAGGTTTTGAAGTTTAATGCGAATTCAAGTAGAGGCTTAAAAACCGTTTGGAAGTTGCACAGAGTTTCGAAGCACAGCTGACACCTTCACCCACACATTTCAGCACACACAACTCAAGGTAACAGGTCCCTTGTGTGGGGCCAGCATTGGCTCCAGCCAGGCCAGGCCTCTCCTGGTGTTTGCTGCTTTACTTGTCACCTTCTGACATTCCAAGCACCACAGAGAGGAACTGAATCCAGAACACATCCTGAAGCCAGGCTCTCCCTGCAGGAAATCCATCACATCCATTTCCACATTAACCCAGAGTTCTACCTCTGAGGGTTTATCTGTGACTTCACACAGCCACAGGCTTCCAGCTGGAGGGAGGAGCAGGGAAGAGGCAATCCGTGCTTCCCGACACAAGGGAACACCTTGGACAGGATCAGCTAATACTCTGGTGAACACCAAAAGACAATGTGAACTGCAAGGTTATTGCTCTACAAACAAGTGACTGGTTGTGACTGGAAGGAAACGGCACCAACACACTGCCAGAGCTGCCTGGCTGCACAGTGGGAGGTGAAGGAAGGAAGTAGTTTAAAATCAGCTACCAACAGTGGAAGCTATGGATAAAAGCAGCTTATTTGCATATTTAATTTGTCACTTAATTCTGTAATGCAAAAGCTTTCACCTGCGGCCTTGGATCCAGCTATCACGGACAGAGCTGTGCATCACCCAAACCCAGCTCAAGATCAAACAGGAATCATCACCAGAGCCAGCAAGTGCTGCTCTGCAGCCAAGCACCCGGCCCCAGGCCTGCAGGGAAGAGCTGAACCTCAGGTACTGAAGGAAGCATGTGCCACCATCACACACAGCCTTGGCATTCTTTGAGAGGAAAGCTGTGCTAGATCCGGTCCCTGTTTGCCAAGCATCACCTCTGATGCTCCAGCTAAAGCCAAGGAAAGAGCTATTTGGATGCTGAGGGAAGCACAAGAATTAACTTGGTACTAACGGATCCAGTTATCCGGGAAGCAGCAGTAGTGAAGGACAGTCCTGTGTGGGTAGACTTTCTGCATTACCAAATGCAAAAGCTTGGATCTACTGTGATCAGTGAAGTACATTCCTCTTATCCTCCTTTTTGGGAAACAAGATATATTATCATATACTATACTTAAATTTATAATTATATATATTCTGATATATATTTAGGATGGGGGTAGCTCTGTATGTACATGTGCTTTATACATACACCCAGCACTCAGACAAACACAGTGAGACCAAAGACCCTGCTTGTATTGTGAGAGTGGAATAATCCTAATCTGCACTAGTGCAATCTGCAGTGGTCACATAAACAAAGACAGAGTCAGTTTCCGTGACATCTGCATTGGGCTGGAAGAAGAAAATTCAACCCACAGCTAAAGACTAATCCTGCCACCTGCCAATGTCTGCAGCCATTGCTCAAAATAGCTGGTACTAAACACTCCAGGTTTCCCTGAATAAACCAGACTGAGTTATGACCTGTCCAGGTAAGTATACACCACAGAGATGTTGGGTTCTTTCCCTCAGATCAACCAGCTCTACTTCCCTCAACTCAGTCTAGAGGACAAGGTGACATTGAGCAAAACAAACTTTTGGATAGACTGCTGCTTAGAATTCGTTTAAAAACAGCCCCAAGCCCTAAGGACATGGGTGACACTAATGCCCTTTTGGCTTCAAAGTGCATTTAAAGACTGAGATGTAAACAAAATCACATTGGGAGGACAGGAAGGTTAAAAAGCTGCTAAGGGCTGCTAACTCCGGGTAGTATGCTAGTTACTGTCACAGGGTGATTAAGAGAGTATGGCTGCAGAGGCTGCAAGCACTCTGCTCTCCTACTCCCCCAGTGCTGGCAGGAGGTCGGAGATGCTGTCGACGTAGTAATCGGGCACCAGGCTCTGCCTGGTCGGACAGTCGCTGTCCTGGTGGCCCCTCACTTCATCCAGCGTGCTGACCCCGGTCAGCGTGAGCAGGGTGGTGAGGCCGCAGGAGTTGCCCATGAGGATGTCTGTGTCAAGCCTATCTCCCACCATGATGGTACGAGCAGGGTCGATGTTGAACTCACTCGCCACACAATCAAACATGTACCGGTTGGGCTTCCCCACGATGAATGCCTCGCGCTGGGCTGCTGTCTCCACTGCTTTTACCAGGCAGCCCGTTCCTAGGGAGAGAGCAGGAAATGCCAGTTAGGGACTGCAAAGGAAACTCGGCATCCACATGAGCCAGCACAACACCATGGACGAGACGGAGAGGGAAAGTGCTCATCCCCAACAGAAATGGTGGACAGAACCTGCTGGAAGACAGGAATACCGTCTCACACGGGGATCAGAAAGGAGCCGCTATTCCTGAATAGAGGAATCTGCATGGATTCTCCCTCTTTCAGTGTGAAGCCCAGGCTCTGGGACACTGAGCCTGCCACACTGCTATGCAGCAAGACTCAGGGTTGAGCTCGGAGACACCCAGAGCCACCTCCCAACCCACTCCTGCCCCGCGCACCGGGGATGGCAGCGCCGCCCTCGAGCGGGAGCCGGTGGTCGCGGTTGGTGCCAACGAGGAGGCAGTCGGTCCCGCCGCGCAGGAGGTACCGCAGCGCCTGGCACAGCTTGGCATAGCTGAAGTGCTCGTCGAAACCCACGAGGACAGCGCGCACGGCGGGGTCGAGCGGCGCTTGGGCCCAGTCAGCGGGCGCCGGGCCGGGCAGGGCGGCGGGGCCAGGCCCGAGGTGCGGGATACCGACAGCCTCCAGCTCGGCGGCGAGCGCGGGGCTGCCCAGCACGTACGCGGCGGCGCCGGGCGGCAGGGCTTGGCGCAGGTAGCGCGCGGCGCAGTAGGCCGAGCCGAACACGTTGCGGGTCTCCGCGGGGGGAAAGCCCAACCGCTGCAGCTTCTCGGTGTAGGCCGCGCGCGTCCGGCTGCTGTTGTTGGTCACGTAGCACAGCCGCTTGCCCGCCGCCGCCAGCCGGCCCAGCGCCGCCGCCGCGCCGCTCACCGCCGCCTCGCCCCGCCACAGCACCCCATCGCAGTCAAAGAGCAGCGTGTCGGCGGCGTCCAGCACGGCCCGGGCCGCCTCAGCCTCCAGCCGCCGGCACTGCCGCTGCCCTCCGCCGCCCGCCATGGCCACCGCACCTCAGCCGCGCGTCCCCTCCCGCATGGCGCCGCCGCTGCGCTCTCATTGGCTGCCTGCCCCCCGCGCGCTGCCATTGGCCAGGAGAGCGCGGTCACCTCAGGCCATTGGGCCGCCCGGCCGCCGCGGGGGCCCGTGAGGTAACTCGTTAAGGCGCCCGGTCCGTGTGCTCACCGGGGGTCAGAGGTCACCCGGGGCCGGGCACCGGACACTGATATGCGCGCGGGCCTGGGATCATCCCCCCTCGTGAGGCGGACGCATTACCGGCCAAGCTCCTCCTCCTCCCCGCCCCGCGGTGGGCCAGTCCAGCGGCACACGGCCCGTTGTTATGACGACACGGCCGTAAAGCCGCCATCTTGGTGGTGCGGCTCGTTGCGACATGGAGGCCGCGATGGCAACGAGCACGGGGCCGGCGGGGCTTACGGCAGGCGAGGCAGAGGAGCGGGAGGCGGCGGCGACGGCGGGCTCCGGAGCTGCCGTGACCCCCACAGGCCCCGCCGCCTTCCTCAGCCTCCCGGCGCCCTTCAGCGAGGAAGGTACCAGCCACGGGGCGGGCGGCGCCGCCGAGACAGGGCCCGGCCGGAGCTGAGGGGAAAAGCGGAGCCTGGGTGGGGCGGTGGGGCCCGGGGAGCCGCGTGCAGGGGCCGGGGAGCCGCGTGCAGGGGCCCGGGGAGCCGCGTGAAGAGGCCCGGCCCGGCGGAACCGACCCCTCGGTGGTCGGAGCGGGTCCTGACCATGCTGGTTCTGTCAGCAGCACGCGGGCTGGTGCCCCTCTGCGTCCGTCCCTGCGCCGGGCTGCGAGAGCGGACCCGGGCCCGGGTGGGGGGATCGCCCCGTTCCCTTCCAGAAACCGGCTCGGAAACACCCCCAGCCCCGGGAGCACCCTCCCCCCACTTCCGGTGCGGGAGCTCACCTCCACATGCAGCACAGGAGTTTTCCGTGTCAGTTTCTTTAGCCGTGCCCGAATTCTCCCCCATAGATGAAGATGATGTTCACAAGTGCGGGCGCTGCCAGGCCGAGTTCACCTCCCTGGAAGAGTTTGTGCACCACAAGCTGCAGAAGGTCTGCCACAGAGTCCCCGAGGCTCTGCCTGCGGCCTCGCCGGGCCTCGGCCAGGACGTCCAAAAGGTGACAGCGGCTTCTCCTCCAGCTGGGGCTGTTGGCTTTAAAGGTCATAAAACTCCTCTGCTAAAGTGTTGTTTGTCACAGCAGGTCGTT